AGGTGTGTCGTGTAATTTTCGTCATCTCCTCACCTTTTTCTATGATCATTTTCATTTGAATAGAATGATGTTTCTTCTATCTTAAGTACTTTTCTGTTCGACCCCAATTGCAAAAAAATAAAAAGTTCGAGTGATGTGCAGCACAGGAATCGGTTTAATTACAAAATGAATGAAGTATGATGAAAGAAAGAAAAAAAAAACACAGCCTCTCGGCTCTTGGGATCAACTGGAAATCTGAACAAGGTCACACCCGGTGAAGTCTCATTAGCAAAACGTTGTATTCTTTCTACTTCTTAAGACGTAACCTCTACTTGTTCCTTAAATACAAAATGCTTGTAACCTCTAATTCATGAGATTTGTTATTTGAACCTCTGTGCATCAGAATGAACATCCAGTCCAGGATGTTTTTTACGCTTTCGTTGTAAGTATTTAGGAGGGCTGTGTTGTGCATGCTATACAGTTTGGATGTGCCTTATTTGCAGAAAGGCACTAGAAAGGAAAACATTTAAACATGTCTACAGCCCCAGTTGTTCTCATTCTGACGAGAATTTCATATTCCTCTACAGCTTAAGAGTGTTCGCTTCACAACTTCACATAACATAGAACACTCCAGGTGGCACAGGGGTTAGCATTACTGCATTGCAGTGCTGGGGCCCTGGGTTCAATTCCAGACCTGGGGTGCTGTCTGTGTGGAGTTTGCATGTTCCTTCCATGTTCACATGGGTTTCCCCCAGGTGCTCCAGTGTCCTCCCAAAGTCTAAAGACAACTGGTAGGTTACTTGGCTTTTGGGATAACTGTCCCTGGTGTGAGAGTGTCTCTCAGGCTCAGCTCCTCCTCAACCTTGCATTGCAAGAAACGGTTCGAAAATGGCAGGAAGGCTAGAACACTCTCTATACCAGAGATTAGAGATTTCCCTTCTGAATGTCTGCCTTATGCCCCTTACAACATAAGCTTTGCGATTGCACAGTTAGTGGGCACAACCAATTACCTTTTCAGCTTCAGAATCAACAGGCATGATTTATATAAGTTACCGAAAGATTTAGGACAATTAGGTTTAAAAAAAGAAATCAGTTCAAAACGCTTTGAAAAGAGGAGCAGGTCATCCATGGTCTTCAGGGTGGTCGCTGTTCTAGTGCCACTTTTCTATCGTTGATGAATTTAACATTCTTCACACAGTGCATTTACAAACACAGCCAAGCTCATGCTTCACAACTTCAGTTCACCCCAGCTGGGTGCTCGGAGAACTCAGGAATCTGGCTAGATCATAAAACGTGCAAAACGGGCTTCACAGCCGAAACGTTGTGTTTTCTCTCTTCTCTTTTCAGCGTGGAATAAACCTATTACTAGTTCGTTTGCAGACTACGCATGCTGACGCAGCAACCCACCTGAACTACTTTAATCCTACATTATTACATTGATCGA